TGTCGAAATATTTTCAGCTAGGCGATTTTCGGCGTTTTTTGTTTTTCAATTTCTCAACGTCCAGCTGGAAATTTGAAGAAATTGTTGAAAAAATGTTGCCTTAAGCCATGAATCAATTTAGAGGCTTGTTTTTTATTCGATGAAAGATTCCTTAAACTAAACCGCGATGGTGTCAGTTCAGCAGAAATGATCAACAGGTATAAAATGGTTTTATTCAAAGTCAAATAATTGCACAGACAATGCGTGATGTTGGGTTTTAATTCAGGGATTCAGAGTTTCAAGCCCTACACCTTGAATTAAGAATGTTTTTTGCTAAAATAAATTGGCAGAGTACTTTTGGTAGAGAATTAAAACACGGTACTTGGCCAGTGCACAAAGTTTGACTATGTATTGTTGCGCAAATTCTGGGGGTTTTTATGCAATTTTTCTCGGCCCTTTTTGGCGGGATTTCTTAGCAAAAAAAAAACCCAGGTGGTGGGAAACTTTCTTTGGTTTGAAAACACCAGGTGGTGGCAGCTGCTGACGGGAGTTTTTGGAAGCACCTAATTTTGCTGTTTTTTTCAGGTTTTAGTACATGTTTTCCTTCCTGGTAACTGGGTGGATAAAACAAATTTTCAGCAGTAAAATGATATCCCCGGGAGATAGGTTTTCTGGGGAAGTCACAAGATTTTGGACAGTTGTTTCAACAGATTTCAAACTTCTGTTTAACCAAAATTCTTCTTCTATACAAAAGACGAGACGAGTGGTCGTCGACCAACACAAAAACAGGACAGAGGTTTGTCAATTTACTAGGGTCAATTTTAAATGTGGAATGGGACTTCTTCCTTCTTGAAGAGTGTGCCAATTTTTACAATCAGATCATATTGCCCCGGTACAGGGGAATTTTTTTCTTTTTGCTCTCTTGTGTTTTTCGGCGCATCCTGAGATGCGCCAATTAAGTTTCAAGTCAAAGTCTTCTTTTCCAAGGCGGCAGTCTTTGCTGTAGGAAAATTCCGCGCACGTGATTTCAAATTTGACTAGATGGCGTGTACAGAAAATTAATTGGGGCATTAATGTAGCAAGTAGAGAACAAAATTGTTCAAGAACCTCACGATGATCTTTTATCTCTTGAACGTTAAAAAAAGGAGATAGAAAGAAAGTCGATGGTTGAGATTTGTGCGACTACAAAAAAGCTGAAAATTTCTGTACAGTACATGAGTTCTGAAAATGTATAAACCCAGAGCGAGAATGTACCGTTTTTTTTTTTAATTTTCCGTTCTTTTACACAACGCTGTTCCCAAACGTTCAAACTGGAAATAGTGGAGTCGTTGGGATGATAAGAATCGAAACCCGCAGCATTGAGTCCTTTGGGGGAATGATACTATGAACCGCGTGAGTTCTTCTGTATCCATTCCAGTACTGCACCGTACTTGTAAAGCCTTGAAATAACGTTCCCGCTTCCGGAGGATAAACGAACCCGTTCCGAAAGTACCGTTGTGATACCTTCAAGCTTCATTCTCCAGTATTGGAAGTTTGCCGAATGCCCTCCCCCCCAGTTATAGTTTGCTCATTGATTTCAAGAGAATCCCGTTCGAAGGGTTCTTCTCTGGAACCTTTTTCCCCCCAACAATTCCGCTGAATTAGGGTTCTCCATTTTCGGGATTGTATGCTGTAAATCTGGAAAAATGTAATTTTAAATAAACGGCCGGAACGAAAAAGACATACGTCGGAACAAAATACAGTTGAACCTCTGTGAGTCGAATTTCTAGGGACCAGAAATAAAAATTCGACTTAGGGAGGTTTTGATTTTTGCAGGTTTTGAATTAAGGAAAAAATAATTCTTGCTGTGAGATTAGTAAGCAAATTGCAGGAAATTGTAAATTAGAAGATTCTGGGCCTAAACTTGCCTCTTGATGAGTTTTCACTGTGCTGAACTCGGAGGCAGGGGTTGATTTGCTATATTTGTCTTTCAATTCCTTCCAAGATGCATCAAATTATTTGTTTTCATCATTTTCTCTCTCTTATTTCACAGAAATAATAACCAAAAGGCCTCAGAAAATTTGAATTACAGAGGTTTTAGGAAAAAAGAATTCGAGTTAGGGAGGTTTTTAATGTATTGATCTTAAGGGAATTTGGACAGGGACTTTAAAAAATTCGAATTAAGGAGGAACTCGACTTACAGAGGTTTGACTTATCGAGGTTCACCTGTATATGAAGGTTTAGTTTATGTCTTGCTGTCAACAATCTACTGTTTTCTTGTGCAGTATTTTAGTTCACGATACTAACTCGCACGTAGCTCAAGATCTTCTATTCCCTCCCTACCCAGATTTTCTTATTTTCGGTGAATTTTACGTTCGAAGTCTTTCTGGATAACTGTGATTTTAAATTTTTGAGCCTTTTTTTCAAAATTGAGCATTTTTCTTGCAAATGAACATGATAAACGGACAGAAAAGACTCAAGTAGCCTTTAATAATGCCAGTCTGAAGAAAAAATCAGCACCCTATTCTTTTTTTTTAAAGGCGGATTGATGATTTGAAGAAACGAAAGCTTCTTTTTTTTTTAGTTTCCTCTCTGTCGTAAAATGGGGTCCAGGTTGCTGCACCTGTCATGAAAAAGCCCGTCGCGCGAAAAGTAAACGCCTTTCGGGTGGTAAAAAGAATGAAATAAAATCGGGGCCCTTTCTTTTCTTTCGATCTCGTATGTGAAAGCAGCTGTGCATATTTTGACAGCCATCACGTTGAGGAATCCGAAGTGGTTCTGTCTGAGATTTGTATTTGTATAAGAAATCGAAAGAAAAAATAGTATCTAATGCACTCAATTCGACGTCCGTCGTGGTGGACATAAAAAGCTCAGTAAAATGCTTCCCTCACCCGTCGGTTTTGATGCCATCTGTTTGAATACAGAACCGTTGCCTATGGGGCTAGTTTTCTCTCCCACGTCTATGCATGGTGCGAAATACAGTGAGACCCCGAGATGCGGACGTAATTGGTTCATCAAGAGTGTTCCCAGGTCAAAATGTCCCTAAGTCGAGTCTCATTTTGCCTTAGATTTGCATTATTTAATGTTTAATTGGTGTTTTATGTATAAAATACTCACCATAATTCCATTAAAAAAATTTGTCTCCCAATTTAAACTGATTCCAATCAACATATTTCAACACAATATGGACATCTGGGGAATTGAATACTGATACCTCTGTACATTACATAGAAATAATAGCATTCTCTGTAAAAATAATATTCAAGTAAATTTTAACTGGGATCATTTAACTGTTTGGAGACAGGACAAAAACACAACCAGCTGCTGGTGAGCAGAGCAGAAAACATATCTTCTTCTTAAAACCAATTTGTCTTCAAACTTTAGACAACTTTGTTAGGGTTGGAAATATCTGTTTCTTGTAATTTGGCCAGAAACTTATTTGCAATTTTATCACAAAATGTCCATATGTCGAGTCAGTGTCCTCATGTCAGTTCTTTTTTATTATTTTTTTTATAGGAAAATAAGTGTCCCTCCGTCGAATTGTCCGCATGTCGAGCTGTCCGCATGTGGGGGTCTCACTGTAATACACTTCGGAAGAAAAGAGTAATTCTTGAAACTTGTGCAAATTTGCAGGGAAGATTGCTGGCTGTAAATAGTTATCGCGTTTAAAAAAAAGACACGTTGCATGTTTACCAAGTACAAATTGGCGGCTTGCTCACAGAATGAGCTGGTATATAGGCCCAAGTCCCGAGGCCTTATTCTCGGGGAAAAGATGGAGAAATTTCATGTTAAACCGTAAACATTTTCAGTTCCTTGCGAAAAGTTATCCCTGTTCGTGTGATCACGAGAAATGCATTTTAATCTGAGCACTGAATTTCGAACTAAATTTAATGCACGAGGGGCAAGTATTTTGTTGCCTAACACCTCAAGACATTTGCAAGACTGGGAATGGAGTGGAAGTGTGACGCATGATCTCGCCTTTACCATAACTCGATTACATTCTGCACTTTGATCAAAGTGGCTCGACAGGGATTTCCTTTGACGTTGGCTTCTTTGCGAATCTACATCTTGTTCTTTGATGTTCATTTTAATTTAAAAAAAAAGTTATATCAAGTGTGAAAATCGACTTATTAGCTCCGATTAGTCGAATTCAAATGATATTTTATAAACATTGCGGACATTTCTTCGATCTGGTCGAAGAATAAAACATCTCATCATCGTCGTTTTCCGAATCTGCTTGACCTTTAATTTTTACAAAATTAGTAGTCATCAATTTCTAAAAATTTCGCCGTTTGAATAAAAAGATTGAAAAATAATTTAAACCGCGTGCATCATTTGAAGTCGATGATGTTGAGACATTTGTTTGAGTCTACCGTCAGAAAACGATATTAGGATTCTTAGTTTTCAATTTTGATTGGAATTGTCTTCACACTTGCACAACTTCTTCGAACTGCAGTATTTTACTACGGTTTTCGAAAATACATGTAGCTATTTTAAATGTAGTTTCGACGGATAAAATATGAAACGTGGGAAGATTAAAAAGGAATTGAGTCGGATTTTTGTGGGAGTTTGAATTTAGGTTTTATATTTTTCTTGATTTTCGAACATGTGTGCTATGAAAAGTTGTTATTGCTCAAGAGTGACCCACTGAGATACATGACTACAATTTTTACATTCCGCTTAAACTCAAATTTTGGAACGGAGCTTGAGCTGTTTTCAACTGCAGTATTGATCAGTGTATGTTTTTATATGATCTATAAATGTTGTACTGTATTAACTTGGACTAAATTAAGACACGTCCAAGCGCTGACAACAATCATAATGGCTGAAGTTTCTCATTTTCAAATTTACTCGGTGAGTAAATTTTCGTGAACCACGTGAGGCTGGAGTCTTATCCCTGAACGTTTGGAGATATCTGAACTATAACTTATCATGATTGAAGTATTTAACAGAAAGGAAAAAAAATCACCAAAACATGCAACAAAAGAACCCTTTTTTAAATAAGCAATATACTTGGAATATTCGCTCTGAAAGCATCTCTGGTGTTTTCTTTCCCCCCCAGACTCCGAAAGCAGCGGGATCGGCATGGAGAACTCTTCGTCGGCATCGGGTCGGGTGTCAAGCGGGGCGGCGGACCTGCCTGTGGATCCCACTGTGCCTGCCCGACCTACCCGAGGCGACCCGTCGTCGGCGTGTCACAAATCGTTCCACGTCGGCACTGCGATGTCGTCTCTGCCGGCTGTCGTGGCTGCGGCGGCGAGTGTCATCAACACCGGCGTCCGTTTGGCGCCTTCCGGACGTCGCTGCGGCGGCGGACCCATGGCGGCGAGTCTGTTTGCGTTGCCTGCTGGCGGCGGCGGCAGCGGTTATGCAATGACAATGGGTGGATTCAGGAGACCGGACTGGCTCGTTGGCATGGCTGGGTCCACGCTGACGGACGCGTCGTCGCTGTCGTTTGAGGATAACGACTATCAATGGTGTTCCGAGTATGCGAGGTCAGTCGTACTTTTAATTATCGTATTACTTAATATATGGGAGAATCTGGAAACAGCCGTTATTTCTATAATTGACGTAATATGTTCACGTAAGAGGGGCCTCCGCGATTGCCGTAAAGCGGCTGAGTTTCTCCACCTTGGTTACGCGGAGACCGGATGTTTTTTCTTCATGAAGCCCTCAGAAGCTCGTCGGCCACTCAAAAAGTACTGTACAGTGACTTCCCGCATAACGAAACACTACTGTGAAGTAAATCCGCGTAAAGAAACATTTAGAGGGGGGGGGGGGCATGACTCACATGACGACATTTTTTCGCCTCAGAAAATGTGCGAATTGTGATCATTTTTCAAATGGAACTCGAGAATTTCTCAAAAATCAAGAAATAAGGAAAAATGCTTAGTTTTTACATCTTTTGCTTTTTTCAATTTGAGAAATTCAGAAAGCTACGAGCAAGAGTTGTTAGGATTACTTTTTCATCACGCTGAATGATATTGAATTCTTAATTTTCTGCTGAAAAAGGTAAAAATGTAATGGTCAAACGTAGGACAAAAAATTGTAAAAAATCATGATGCTCTCAGAAAATGGCTTTTAGCGAAAGGCTGGAACCGATCAAATGAATTAAAACGTGATCGTAAAAAAAAACTCAAAATGACGGTACTTCTTACTCCCGAACTAAGACCAAGTATATCTAAAGTACTATATTGGCATTTTCTTTTTTTTTTCCTTGAAAAAAGGATCTGCTGTACAGTGTACTTCCATGATCGAACGAATTTCACAGTTCGAAACCTGTCGTGTTGCTCTCAGAAAATTCAGCTATTTTTATTCGTGACATATTCGAATTCATCGATATTCTCATGAAGAAAATGCAAACTGCCTGAGATTTAAATAAACATGATGCACTATAGATGCAATGCTTGATCAATTTATATAAATGAATGAACGGAACAGGGCAAGATCTGTGAAATATGAGTCTTGCTCGTCCTCTCACTGAATAATTATATTCGCTTCAACATGCGGAAATTGTTCGATGCTTCGCATGTAAAATTGTCATTAAGTCGTGACGCGAACCGAAATTCCTAATACATTATCTAATTTTTTCCCTTTCGCGTGGGTCATTTTGGAGACTCTTTTGGACAAATAACGGTGATTTGCGCCTGGATGTAGAAAAAAAAAGCTGAAAAGATTCCTGACCTGGATTACATGCTTCGTGTGTCATTTTTCATGCACTTATAATTTCATTTTTATTTATTTTTTCTGCTTATTGCGAGTTGGCTGCACTTTTTTCCCTTTCTACTGCGGATCACGACCACGCGAATCTTTCTCTGAGATTTTTGTTTTCCGTGCTTGATTGCTGAGGAATGCGCGACGGGCTCGGTAGCCCACAATTAATCATGCCGGAAAAGCCGTCGTGCTTATTTCCGAGTGATGAATGATTGTCGTCTCCAAGGGATTTTGCCGACTTTACCTGCGGAACCGGGTTGCTTCCCTTGGGGTTAATTTTATTTTTATTTTATTTTTTGCGTTGGTACCATGTTTCTTTTATTTTTGTATGGCGTCACGTTGAAGAGAAGTTGGCTCAATGTAATACGGTAGTGTTTATGCGTGTCAAATTTTTTGGAAACTCTCTTCCGGAGAGAATTTTTCATTTGTCTTTGAGGAGTGACATTCTGCGTACACGAACAAAAAGTTTGCAAAACTCCGAGCTACATTATCCGCTGCCGTTTTTGGAGTCAGGTTGAATACGTTCGCTGGAAAATATTATTTTGTGAAGGGTATTTTTTTTAAAAACTTCCGGCTGTCGTTCGCATTAGGTATTTTTGAATCAGTTCGAGAAACTCAGAAAATGCGAACGTTTTCCTGAACACTGAAGAATATTCCGTATTAATGATGCAAGGGGTGCTTCTTGGAGGCGTCGCAATTCTAAAGAAATACCCCCATCGACTTCATCTTGATGCAGATTCGTTTCCACGTGTATTATTTTTCTTCTACGAAATATTCATACTGATTAGAACACGTATTTAAATTACTGTACCTTAATATAGGAATTCGAAGCACTCTACGAATGCCGATTTTTGAATATATATATTTTGTTTCCCCACTTGAACTGTTCCATTCACATCCCTTCAACATCAATCGCAAGCTATTAAAAGTGTTAATGTTTGAGGATTACTTTTGGAGAAGGCTTGGGTCAATTATTTGGGACCCTTTGTTGCACCATGAGCCAGCAATAATTTGTAGAACAGCATGTAATGACCCATTGATGGGAGGAATAATGGAGAGGCCTCGTTGGCCAATTATTTTTCCTCGTGTCATCGAGGTGGGTGTGTAATTTCATAGAAGCTAGGGGAATGATTGAGACGATCCTTTGGAATTTTCTCGTCGTAATTTAATTTAATTTTATTTTGGAAGTACTTTCGTGAACTGGAAGCGCAAAAAATGTAGCAACGTTCGGAAATCAATCACACCTCAGTCTTTCTCTCCGTTAGTACTAACTGAGGGTGCCCAGCCACACCTGGGCACTGGAAAAATTTTAAATTTAAAAATTTCTAATCAGATCACACATGGAAGAGCCCAGTTGTGTGGCCCAGTCACACCACTGGGCATTATATTTTATAAAAATGATTGCTCTATGACATTACAGACATAACATTGCACTGCATTTCACTGTACAATGTTAGTGCCCCAATGTTGCAAAATATCCATAATTTTTTTTTCACTGGTAATTGTGGTCAATATGCCACTTGGGCACTTCTATAAAGCCCCTACTGTACTGTGCACTAGTATCAATATTACAGTGTGTGAGTATTTTGAAATTATGAGAATTGGCTTAATTATGGAGATAATTTCCTCTAATTGGATCTGACATTTTGAACGGGGCAAATTCAAATTCATTTGGGATTCTACAGCATTCTGCTGCTCTTTCTAAAGACGGAATAGTTCGTTATTCCTCGTCATCGCAGTCTGGAAGTTGGACGAGAATTTGCGCAATTTTATTTATTTTTTCTTAGCAAAAAAAAAAAAAAGACTTTCGGTAGGAAGCCTGCGACCCAGTTTCTGCGGGTCAACAGTTTCGTGTGTGTGGGTGTGCACGAAACTGTACGTTGGTGTAGGAACAAGAGAAAATACACCGACAGTGCTTTCGTTTTCCTTATATTTTTTTTTTTATTCCGCGTGCCTGAAGATCGCGGTATTTAAAACGCTATGCCTTCTCATTCAGTCTGACGTGATGACCTGTCTTGTCAGGATTGATCTTCTGGGGGAAATTTTCGGGCGTTTAGATTATTTGCTGCCTTGGGTTCGTCTGGGTTCCTGAGTCAGGATAATCGTGGGGGGTTCTTTTTTCCTAGTTTTTTTCTCGCACATTTGCTGCGAGTTTTAAGGTGACTAAACTTCCTGGCGAACATGGAAAATATGAATTTTGTTTAGCACTCTTGATGTTTCTGGATGCACATTTTTTTCGCTGGAATGGCTAGATTTCTCTTTCGGTCTTGATCAACGGAATCGTTATTAATTTAAGCGTGGGGGTTGGTTTGTTAGATTTAATTTTTTCAAGCCATGTGCTCTTCTTGTTCGATGTAGATAGATGAATGTAATTTTCACGGAGTGAGACTCGTATTTAATAAATTTCTAGTTTCCGAATCTTTGTTCCTCCGAGTAAAATTTAAATTACAAACCAAGCTTTTTATAAAATAAAGTTCACATTCCTCATTTTATTTTTATGCAAAATTTTGGCCTAGGATAATTGAACAATTTTCGAACTGCGAACTGTGTTCCGATAAAAAAAAGTTCGTGTGATCAGATCAATTTTCGTGTTCGTGTTGCTGAAGACGAAGGTTAATTTTAATTTTTTTTGCGTCCGAGAAAATCTGGACTGAAGTAGAAAACATTTGTTTTAGAAATTGAAGAAAGATTTACTTGAATGATTTCAATGTATCGAATAATGAGTTGAAGGTTGGATTCAGCTTTGCGTTCCATGTCAAGAATAACAAAAGAACTTTTGATTCATCCTTCGTCGGCGGGTGCCTGATTATGATCTTTTTTTCGAACATTTGGAACAAACTGGGAATAATAAATAATAAAATAAATTCCGACAATCAAGGAAAATTCTTGGCTGCTGGAATTTATACCAATCGTTTATGCTCAGGGGGTCGTTTTTCACGCTTCAATTGAATCCAGAAATAGCATATGTTACCTACTCTGGTCTGGATTCGGGATGCGGGTCTCTGAAACGATAAATCATCATCATCATCATCTGATATGACAACATGTGACGTTTGGTTGCCCTGGATTGAATAGAGAAACCTGGATTTCCTTGTCTTTTGATTATTAGTGTAAAACATTGGATATATTTTACGTATTATTGATTGCTTTTCAAACTGATGTTTGAATCCCGTTAGCGTTTAAAATTCCCCGTGTAGGTAAAATTTTATCGAAGAATTTGTGAAAAAATTGAGATCTCTAGAAAATATGCTATGATTGAGATATATTCATGAAACAATTTTATGTTTTCATTGATGCTTTTTGTTGGGAAATCGAAATTCTGTGGTAGTTTGTCAATATTTTCCTACCTTATCTAAATTAAAAACTCCACTATGAACAAACAAAAAAATGCCAATGTAAAGTACAGGTGATAAATTCAGGTTACTCATTTTAATGTAAATACAGTATTGTTAAGTTGCGTCTGCTGGGAAAGGTTTTTTTTCAAGTACTGTATTGATCTTGAGGCTATTGAAATTCTCGCTCCTCCAAAAAATCTCGCGCAAATCTTTTTTTGCGCAGAGATTTCACAAGTTCTTGCTCTTGGATTCATGTCGCGATCGAAAGACCTTGGAGCTGCCTAATCGCAGTTGTCATTGTCTCGTTTGTTATGTAATTTCAGCCGAGATTCCCTGCTTTTTTTTTTTGGCTCTCTGCCGACGGAAATGTAATCCCCGGTTTTGAAGCATTGATCACCTGCATTATCCTTGCTCTGATTCCCGTTTTTCCCTTGTCACGAGGAAAT